CTTCATCCCAGATCATCTGCCTGTGTCAATCGTGAAGGTTCTATCACTCTTGCCAGTGACTGGTTCAGGACGGGTGACACAGTTCGAGGTATAAAGGGCTTTTTTTGATTGCATCAGGGAGTTTCCTCACATCTAAGCTAGAAAAAAAGGTGCTTTTCCTTCTTGCTTTTGCTATTTCATGTCTGAATATGAGTCCTAGAACTACTACCTCTGTAATCAGCAAAAGCCCGAAGTCAAGAGTGAAAGGAGAAAAAAAAACTGAGTTCTTTGATGACATAATTGGCTGCTGAATCAATCTACTGTGAAGTGCTTGTATCCCTTACCTCTCAGCTACACCGATTCTGCTATATAACAAACAATCTGCAAGTCTCAGTAGCTTAAGCTAAGAAAGATTTAATTCTTGCTTATACTCAGCTGTTCATTATGGGCCAGCAGGGGCCTGTTCTCACTGTCTTCTTCACGGAGGGATGCAGGCTGATGGAGTCTCCTTTATTTTGAATGTTGCCTTTCTGGTGCTGCATGAAGCAAATGGAAACATGGTAAACAGTTCGCCAGCACTGACTTAAAGGCTTCTAGCTGGAAGTGGTGCATGCTACTCTTGCTCACATTTCCATAGCATCTCTGGCCTAAAAGCAGTAGGTGGAACATTTGTACCATGTGCATGGAAAGGAAGAAGCAGTTCATGGCAGGTCAAATAAATGAAAAACATGTATGTAATTATATGTAGAACTAAAAAAAGTTAATAGTGTATGTCTGATATATACAAGTATACACACATATATTGCAAAACTTGCACGCTGAAGATAGAAAATATCTGAATACACACCAGAAATGATATGTTAGGTCATTTAAACCATACTCAATAAACTGCAAAATGCAGAAACAATATAGCCAATATTATATGGTGGTACAATGACATAAAATTATAGATTACAAACTCATTTATGGGAAAACAACTCCTACTGCCTAGAATTTTAGAAGTTATTTTCAAAACAACTTCTGGGTCAACAAAGAAATCCAAACTAATATTGCAGAATTTCTACAAAAGCATAATAATGAAAATACTAAATATCCACACACATTGGATAGAACTAAAGCAGCCACTAATGAGGAAAATCCAATAGCTTTAAATACGGCAGGAAAAGAAATGGGTGAGTTACTGCTGGGTATATCTTTATGGCTGAATTTCAAAAACATAAAGTGGCAAAACAACAATGACAAAAACACACCCACAGGTGCGTTTGATGTTTTAGCATTTTGACAATTAAAACTGTCAAAACAATTAGGAAATCACACGTGTCCCTGGATTCAGGAAGGACTTCAGTGGGCACCTGTGCAAAGAGAATTTGACCCGGGGAATAATGGTGGCAGTCATTTCAGTCTTCCAAGAGTTAAGTCATCAGCAGGGGAAAGGAGGATTTTGAAAAATCTAGACAGAAATATTAAAAGTGAAACAAGTGAGAATAAAATATTCTTACTGGAGAATAAGAATCAGTGAAGCTATTGAGAATTACAGAACTGATGCCTTTATTTAATTATTTATTTACTTAACTTCCCCCCGACTTTCTGTATCTATACACATTTCAATGTGTACAACAGTAACTCTTTTAAAAATTTATACTGCTAACACACCTAAAAAATTTAACCATAATTCATCCAGTCAATGGTCAAATTTCTAATTCTCATAAATGTAACAAATACTTAAAAAACAGTTAAATAAGAATCTAAATAAAATTTTGCATATTGCAATTGATTGGTATACCTGTTAAGTTTCTTTTAACCTATAGGTTCCCCTTCCGTCTTTATGTAAACTGCAATTAATTTATTTAAGAGATACAGAGTGTTTTTTACCCACAGAGTGTTTTTTACTTCACTTATCCACAGTCTGGTATTATTTGACATGTTTCTCTGCCATTTGTAGTTCCTATGAATGCCTGAGCTGATCTACAGAGCTTGCTCCTCGAGGGTGGTCCTGGATCGAAGCCTCAGTGTTAATGGGGTACTTGTTAGAAACCTTACCTCAGGCTAACCAATCAGAAATTCTGGGCTTGCGCTCCAGCAAGCAGTCTGCAGTTTAACTAGCTTTCCAGGTGATGCTGATTCTGCTGTTGTTTTGGAACACTTGACCTAGAGTGTTAGTAAGTTTTAGGTTTGATATTTTTTGCCAATACCACTTTATAATATGGAGTTTCTTTCAAAAGTCACATAGTATTTGATTGCTTTTTCTTTTATGGCCATTGACGCTGCATGCTTAGATTCATAAGTTATATTAGGAATTACAAAATGGAGATAGTTGAATTATATCATTCCTTCTTCCTTTGTTATCTGGAATATTTCTAAAAAGAGAAATAGCCCTCATCTGCTACGTGGTAACTCAGTGAGTGTCCTTAAAACAGTTTCAAATCCACTAAAATGTTGGATGAACATTACGATGAAAATTCATATGTTCTTACCCCCGTTCACCAATAGTTAACATTTTGCAACATTTGCTTTTCTCTCTCTCTGTCTACACACACACATGTTTATGTGTATGTCTCTATGTACGTTTGAAAGCAACTCCACACCATAGCCCTAAATACTTCATTGTGTGTTCCCCAAGGATGAAGGCATTTTCCCACAAAACCACCCAAGAAATCTAATATTGATTCAATAATATCTAATAAATACTTCACACTCAAATTTCTCCAATTGTCCACAAAATAGCCTTTATTGTAGTTATTTTTTATTTAAGATCCAGTCAAAAATTACATATTACATATAGTGAGCATGCCTCTTTAGTTCCCTTTAATCAGGAATTAGTCCCCTTTCCTGTTTCTCTTGTGTAGCATTAACATTTTTGAAGGGCCAGAGCCAATCATTTAGAAAATGTCCCATAATCTAGATTTGCTTGGCTATTTTCTTGTGATCGTATTCAGGTTAAATATCTGGTTACAAAACTATATAGGTCATGTTACACGCTTCTCATAGCATCATACCACGAAGTACCACATGGCAATTTGTGCCATTAGTGGGAGGATGCCACCTTCGAGCTCTTGGTTAAGGTGGTAAAGTGCCAGGTTTTTCTGTTGTGAAAGGAGGAAAGTTCAGTTTATAAATTTATTTAACTTAAGTAACAGCATATAATGACAATACTTAAAGTGATTTGTTATTGACAGAAAATTGATTTAAAACCAAGCCTAAAACTTTCCAAATAGTATTAATCTACACAGACTATGCCCTACTCTATTTTTCTAAGCCATCACGAAATTCACTCAGGAGAGCTTTTTTAGACAAAACTGCCTCCATTGAATTATTTTGTTTTTTTATCTCCATTAAACATATGTTCAGTAATATGAATGTGCACAGTCTATATTCTAAAACATTTGCAAGAAGATCAAATTATTTTAAGCTATTAAGGTAAAGGTGTGTATATATATATATATATATATATATACCTTTATATATATACTGGGTAGATTTTTCAGCCTGTGGAGGAAATAACTTCTCAACTTCTCTCTTCTTGAATTCTCAACATCCACAACCAAAATTCTTTCCTTCACTCTGTATATGTTTCAAGTAATTTTTGTTATGACTAGTAAGGAGGACTAGTGTTGTGTATATTGTTATAATTCATACAGCGAAATGACTTCCTTACTCTACATGGAGTTTTGGAAAACGTCCCTGTTCTTGCATTACTTTGATGTTTGAGGGCCATTCTTGGCAACTTTATTAATCACATTTCAAGTGTAAGTTTGTTTTGATTTCCAGTTCTGCCCCACTTTTTCCTTACTTGTTTTTCCTCACTCATCTTTCTCTTTTCAGTCCTCATTTGAGAGCTCTCTGAGGGCACATGCACGCACAGTTAGAGAAGAGGAGGATGACTGCTTTCCAACAGAATTACCTGCCAAAATATTTTGCATTGATTATATGTGACTTGATAACCTTAGTTTGCAACTATCTCTGTTGATATCTCATATACTACCAGATATCAGGCTGCGTTTTAACTGTTCTTAATAATACACACTAAAATCTACTCTTCGGTATAATCAATTTTTACAGACTTAACATAAGCAGGGAGTGTAACTAAGCTCACCTTACCCTTCTGTGTCAAGGAAAGACCTCTAGAACCCAATGTCTTCAAGACCCAACATCGGAATCACATCTACTTAGGGATCCTTTCCCCCAGGCAGGCTCTTATATAGCTCTTTTTTTCTGGTCTCTATCCTTTTTGTCTATACCACCCCATCCTGTGGTCTTTTAGGTTTCTTGCAAATTTGTAGCCTGGCATTTGAAATTACAAAGAATTTTTCTTAATTTAAGGATACCAGACCAGTCTTTGCAAATGGAGTGTAATATTTGGCTTGCAATACTACTTTTAATGCCCCATCACAATTTTTTACATGGCAATGGGAAAGGAAATGTCGCAGGAAATGATTTGGGCCAAAACTACTGTGGACAGCCTTGGGAGGATTAAGAAGCAGTATTTTGGGACTTAGTACCAAGCCTCGTTGGCCGTCAGACAGAGGCAGGAGACCCCAGACTTAATCTGATCTTGGGGGGCTGTGAGAATGCACTTTGCTGATCTGAAAGTCCACCTTGGCTCTAAGTCCATAACAGGCTTCTAATGTCCCTGAGATCATCTCGTTCTCAGGAGCCACCCCGTTCAATTCCCCAGGGTGGTTGTCCTCCCCACCGCTGGCCGACCTTGCAATGGTCTTGAACTACACAGAACTCCAGATTGTTTGCTCAGCTGTGGTGGGTCTACTTGCCCAAGAGGTCTAGCCCCATAGAGAAACCATGTGACAGTTTAATCGAATAGCATACCTTGGCTCCCCAGGACAGCAAACAGATTTGTATTCTGTGAATGTGAATAGCATGTTTTTTGTTTTGCTTTTTTTCTGGGTTTTCGTAAATATGCTCATCTATAAGCTGCCTTTTTTTCTTTATTTCTTATTTATATCTAAGAAACGAATTGTGATCATCCTTTAAGTCATTTTTTAAAAAGGAGCCAGAGACCTTGAAAAATATTTTATTCTTAGCAGTCTCTCAAACTTTTTCTGTTACATGCCTTTCACAATGAACTATAAAAATAAAAGTAGTCACCGCCATTTCCTGGCATATGCCAACACATTGCTGTCCTTTTACTTTTTCTTTTTGACCAATTTTAAGTCACTACTTATGAGGGAAAAAAAGGCTTTATTCTTGTTCACAAGGAAAACCCAGCATACACAAAAATGGAGGACAAAAGAACTCATTCCTTTGTTTATATTTTGAAGTTCAATTCTTGCCACAGAAAACACAGCCTGACATTGGCACATTAGCATAACTGCAAGTTAGATGTAAAAAACATGGGCCTTTACTATCAATCCTCAGCTTTTTTTGAACAGAAGAATCGTATATACAAAAAACAAGCCCGTGGATTCATTTATTTGGTCTTCAATACAACTAAAAAAAAGAGAGAGAGAGAGAAAATTCTCTATGTTTTACCAAGTTTGTTCACTACACATGACATGTAAAAATAGTCACTATGCCATGATTTTTTTAAAAAGGGGACAAATGTACACATTGAAGAGATAAGTCAATTTATGGGTCACATTTTAAATTACAAGGTAATAAAATGACCAGTTTTGGGTCTATGAAGCTCATAAATGGAGTATAGGTTGTTACTAAGGGACAGATATTGAAGGTAGCTGAGCCACCGTTAGCCTGGTTTCTGAATAATCACCATGCAGCAGAATTACCAACTGGCAATACTCACTCAGGTTGGTGCATGACCAAGAAGTCTATTTGTTTCTTTAAGACACTAAGAATTTTTGGGGGGATGGGGGTGTCTGTTTGGATGCAGCAGCTTAGCCTTACTTTCATTCACATAAAGGTGTGGAAGTGCCCACACGATGCAGGACACAAAGCGGTTGGGTAGCAGCATTCCAAACTCATCTTGCGACAGGTATATTTGATGTCATTAAACAGGAAGCATCGTGGTGTCCATGCTTCTGAAAATTGAAGGAATCTCAAGTAGGAAGTAATTCCTCCACAACAAATGTGAATTTAGACCTTCCTTTCCCATCAATGGAGAGTGAAGGTGACAATCCTGATGAGATTGAAGACCCCGGCAGCTCAGACTAGACACACTGCAACCTGCAACCGAACCGTGTGATCAGTAATAAGCGGGTTGAAGAACCTCTGTAGGTATCACAAGGTCCTGAAAGTGGAGGAAATAAAAACAGTTATCAGAATGCACTGCATGGTATATACTTTCTAGTTCAGTAAGATTTATATAAGCTCTCTTTGCTGAATGTGAGTTCGGTTAAAAATCATTTTATTATCCTCGTAAAGCCTATATATTGTAAGATTATTTACATATACATATTATACATCTTATACCTTTTGACTCCTATTGTCATCAGAGCGTGATGTCGAATGAGGGTGAGAAAAACAGTAGCATCTCTTACTGATTTCTCTTTTAACCTGGTTTATTTAATAAAAAGCATAGTACAGATAACCCCAGAATCATTGCTCTTTTAAGTGCAGAAAGGACTAGATTATCTGGAGCACTGGCTCTCACTCTTTTTGATTTATCTATAACTAAGGGGCAATTTGCCCAAGTCTCCAATGCACCGCAATGGAGAAGAGGCAAAATAAACCTGGACCTGTGTCACCAGGGTTGGGTCGACGTGCAGATAAAGTAGATAGCTGCCGGCGTGGCTGAACACGAAAGGACCTCAAAGAGACAATACTCTGCTGCCATTTAGCTAGGAGAGCTGAAGCTGCTGGTGGGAGATTCATGCACCACTCAAGAAACACACCAGGTCAGACAGTAAGCTAGACGCACCGTGATGAACAAAAGAAACAAACATCTCTGTCCTTGGGGACTACAGACAGGTATGGGGGTCATCTTGTTTACAACTTTGGAAGTAGTTAGCTGCCTGAAACTCAAATAATATCAGAACACTGGTGAAGAGAGCTGGGAAGGAACGACTTCCATCTAGAGGACTATCTGAAGACTACTTGGGAGCACATCATTTAAGGCGATCTGGAAAGCTTCATATTTAGAGGAAGTGGATGTGGGAAATGCCAGCGAGGCTGAGGTCTTGAATTCAATTCCATCCAAAGTAAGATTATTACCCTTGAAACAGATTTGTTGCAATATGGTTTAATTCATATGCCAGTACTAATAATCTCTGATCGTTCCCTATTTCTGTTTTATTATTATTACCAAACTTAAGTTACCATTCAGGAGCTAGTGTTACACCATAGAATCATTTGTAAAGCCAAACTGAAGGTCTTCAGACACACGAGACCTAGGAATGTGAAAAGCCAATCCCAGCCTCCTGGAACAAAATAAACCCACAACTGAGCTCAGATTTGCAAAACCCAGCAAGCAGAGCAGACAGCCCAGAGGGGGAGCAGACCAAACACATTTCCCAGACCTGCAAAGGACCCAGCCGTCACCCACCAGCAGAGAGGGGCTTGCTTTGGTTAAACGGGTGGCAAGGAAACAAAGGCTCCTCGGCCCAGGAAGGCCTAAACAACAACAAAACCCTCCATCGCTAACTGTGCCGAAGTTCCAGGAACAAAACACCGTTCTCAGGGTGTCCCACTTTCATCATGGAGCTGCACACCCACAGGCTTCAGTTTCCACCAAGACTCAGTCAGTCCTGGCGGCTGAACTCAGACTTAACGCAGTACCTGGAAGGCCTGGAAGAGTCATTGTCTCTGCCTCAGGGGCAGATCGGAATGGACAGGTGCCAGCTAGACACATACTAACAGTTTATCTAAGAGAAAACCAAGATGTAGAGTTGTGAGTGCCGGTTTTAGAGGAGTCAAATATTTGACTGGCCTTTCTCCTTCACGTCCTGAGTTTGGTTCGAGGGTTCTTGGAGTGAGTGAGTGTGTGTGTGGCATGTACCATGGACCCCTTTGCAGTCATTTGGAATCCTTTTTACAATGATCATTGCAAATTCACCAAATAAAACAGCATTGCAAAGGTAACCAAATGTGATAAAATATAATTAAAATAAAATATAAATATTAAAATAAGTAAAATAAAATATTAAAATAAATGCAAGTTCACAATATGATATTATTACTTCTTTATTGATACATGAGACAACAAGATCTAGGGTGAGTCTACAAGTTGCCAGAATTTCCACATAGTAATGAGCATAGGAGATATTTTGAGATGCATGAACACTGTAACGTGACATGAAAATATCTGTCATTTCCATGGGTGATAGTCACAGGTACGCCCCATACCACTGTGGCTAGTCGTTGGTAGTCATGCATTAGCAGTTGCCAAATTCCTTTCAGAGGTTAGTAAAAATAGAGTATATTAATTTATTTCCCATTATTCAATATAAAGAGAAATAGCTATATAAAAGATATGTAAATTATATAAGTAAAAATAAAGATAAATTTTTTCCTCATTCAGGTTCATAGACTTGAATTCACTCCTGAACTCCAGGTGAAGAACTGCTGGTTAATTAGTCAAGTCCTTTCTTCACTTTAGACTAGAGGTTGCAAATTAGTCACCCGTCAGCCAGATCTGGTCCACAGGTGCTGATAGTGTTGACTGACAGTGCTAAGAGTTGACAGTTTAAATTTTTAAATTTTTTAATCTACAAATATTAAGATCTGCAACTTTGCCTAAAAAAACTGGAATATTTGACAATACTGTGCTAAATACAATATGATTATTCAGCTGACCTCGTGATGGGAAGATTACCCTGGATTATCTGGGTGGGCCCAACATAAAAACAAGCATCTGTACATGTGGAAGAGGGAGGCAACAACCGGAGAACCAGACCGATGGCAGTGTGAGAATGACTATGCCTGACATCGCTGGCTTTGAAGCTGGAGGAACAGGGCCACAAGCCAAGGAATGTGGGTGACTCCCTATAAGCTGGAAAGGGCAAGGAATCAGATTCTACCCTAAGCTTCCAGAAGCAACCTGTGCAGATGACACCTTGTTTTTACCTTGGTGGGGCCCATTTTGGACTTCTGACCCCCAGAACTGTAAGATAATAGGATTGTGATGTTTCAAGTGACTAAGTTTTGGTAGTGTGTTATAGCAATCATTGGAGACTACTACAAGTGCCTACTATGTGCAGGCATTGTTACAGCAAACATACCAAAGCTACCCATTTAGGTCATTCTTCAGCACAAGGTTGTAAGTGTCTCATGGCCAAGCACCATGCTGATTCAGTTACAAAGTCAGCACCTACACAGTGCCTAGTACAAGAGAGGCAATTTAAAAAATACTTGTGGAATTTCATTGCATTACTATTTCTAAAATCCATGAATCATATTGGCTCCCATGATGATCCATTGGTTGGTGGTGGTTTAACACTACTTGTCTTTCGCTTGTAGACAACACAACTATGATCTTAGTCAGGCATTCTTAGAGACGAAAGGGACTTCAAAATATAGAATGCCTTTTAAAATCAAACACATTACTTCACGTTATAATTCTCTCTAAAAGTGACCTGATTTTCAGTATTGCTTTGGAGCATTCACAGTTTTATTTGTTGGCCAGTCTATCTGGTAAAGGATTATTTCTTATCTGTAGACAAAATGTGCTTTATTACTCTTACTACTTTCAAGGTCCTGATGAAGCTAAGTCTCAGTTAAGCCAAGCCCTCTAGAGCTCATCTGTGAATGAATTTCAACATGTGAAGGTAGCTATTGTGAACCCCTATTATTACCCCTATTCCTGTATACATTTTGTTTTATAATCTGGACAAATAATCCAAATGTCTCATTTTCCTCATGGGAGCCCCTTACCATTATGTCCACTCTAGTCTGGACATGGTCTCTTCATTAATGATCCCTTTAAAATACAGTGTGTAGTATGAAACCCCATTTCCAGGTGTCAAAATATTACAACAGCTAACAGGCTGTGTGTTTCCCTTGATGTGATCACAATACTATGCAGCCTGCATTAGTTTTGTAGGGAGAGGAAAGCACCCTATTAATTCATACTTGGTTTACAGTCAACTAAACCCTGTTTTTTTTTTTCATGTGTTAAACTGGGCTTTCTCAATCTTACACTTGTATCATTGATTATTTGAGCCCAAGAGCAAAAAATCCATCTACCCTCTTTCGATATTATTATATTCATATTTTTGCCTTTTTTCTGCCTAATGAACTAATTTAGAACTGCAATTCTGTCATGTAAAGTATCAACAGTTTCCTCTCAGTTTAGCGCAACAAACATTTATTGAGCAATTACTTAGTGCCTGCCATTGCACTAGATGCATTGGGTCATCTGCAACAACTGATAGCATATGTTGCTACTCAAGTGATTATAAATCTGATGGACAGGATGGGGTTAAGACTACAGCCCTCACTACAAAATGACAGAGATTCATTGATCAATTCCCACTGGGCATTGTCAGATTTGAATGATGCTAACCACACACACTTATCCAGTTCTTATTTCTTCACCTTGTTTCTTATCCTGAAACTTTGCCAGGAACCTTTTTGAAATCCAGACACACAATACTGCTTTTATTCAATATATGGTGTCATATGTTTTAACAAGGAAATACCTCTAGTTTTGGTACTTGGATGTCTCTTAACACCTAGGCCAAGAGACATATGTTAGATCAGATGCACTCTCTCTGCTTCCCTTTCTATTCCTTCCAATCTAAGTTGACTGTAAAGCCCATGTTTCTTTTCAAAGAAGAGAAAATTTGGGGCTGGAGATATTGATAACAAAGACAATGATCGATACAAGTGGATGTCTAAGTGCGATGTCTGAGAAAGGTAAGTGAAGAAGTAGTATTGCTAGTTTCTGTCTGTAATTTTCCAAGCAGCCCCGAAGGGTCTGGGCAGAGAGCCCCGCAGCAGGCGGCACAGCGGGGAGGGCCTCGCAAGGAGTTGTCTTGGTAACAAAGCCCGTTTGCTGCCTGACTCAGCCAGGCAGGAAAGTGAGAGCAGCTTTGAGGAATGTGCTGAACTTTGCAAGAGGTTGGTTTCCTGCTCTCGGGAAAGTTAAATTAAAATTTCCTCAATGTATATGATATTCTTATTCCTAAGGCTTTTGGTTTAAAAAATTGGCTTGAGCAACGTTTTGACAAACAAGGGGTAGGGAGAGACCTTAATGACATAACCAGGCAGTTCCAATGTGAGTGCTTTCTCCAGTTCTCAAAGCAGGCTCTAGTTCGATGCTGTGACAGGGGCCCACCTGCCCTTGACCGCTCGCCTGCAGTGGGATGCTGGCCGGTCTCTCTGCTTTCAGTTCACCTGCCAGGCCCTCTTTCTTCCAGCTTCCAGAGTGATCCTTCCAAAATGAAAGTCTCCTCCTTGTTTCAGATGCTTTGATGACTCTGCTTGTCTTTGGGACAAGAGCTTAACTTCTTCAGGTGGCCTATAAGGCCTTAGTAGGCGTGGCTCCCACCTCTTCTATGCTCACTCAGCTCCTCCAACCCTCCTCTGCTTCGGTCCTTCCGAACTACTGGCACTTCTTGATTCTACAAAACTCCCCCTTGCCACCTGTACTTGCTGCTCTCTCTGTCTGGGATGCCCTCGCTGTACCTCTGTTCTGTCTTTTAGATCTCAAAGTCATCATCCAGTTCTCCCAGAAGCCTTTCCCAACTTCTCTCCTTCCCCCATCTCTCCCATTGTGGGGATAGTGGCCACATGTGATATTGCTTTGTAGTAACGATTTTAGTAACAAAAAGGAAGATCATTTATACTTACATGCCTGGGGGATTGCAGAGGATTCATGAAATGTCTATCCATCACAGCAATTCTTGCAACTGAAAAGTTCATTAGACACTCACAGTTCATGAGTTGGGTCAGAGTGCTTCTGTGGGCTCTGCTCCTTTAACGCATCAAGACAAACGACAGCATTCCTGGTGCTGTCCTCTTCTTCACCTGCCAGGGTTACACCTGTGTGTCGGCTGTGTGACTCCTCACCACCCTGTACACTTACCACTTACACACTGCTTTGTTTGTGTGTTTCAATAATGAAGTTTGTTAGAAATACAAACTTAATGAGGGGCTGAACAGCAGAAAATAAAAACTAAAGAGCTAACTTGTGAGTTTAAAAATGGAACCAAATATCCTTACAGAACAGGGCACAAAGAATAAATAGATGAAGTGTGAGAGAGAAGTTGAGAGGCCTGGATACCTGCAAGTTCCAAAGTCTATTTAATGATGCATCAATCCCCTGGGTCAGTCTGAAGGAATAAAACAGAGATCAATGAAGGAAATCCTCAAGCGAATGACAGAAGAAAGAACACCTATAAAAGAGATGAGCTCTCAGATCAAAAGGTAATACCATGTGCTGAACAGGATGAGATCTCACAAATTTGCACAAAATTATGACATTTTGGCACATTAAGGATAAAAAATGCAAAAGCTACTCTAGAGACTCAAAGCAGATAACTCACAGATTTCTCACCTGCAACACTGCATGAGAGAAGACAATGAGGCAAAATCTCAGGCAAAGAACTCCTGAGAGAGTGTCAAGCATTTAAAGTGCAGGTGCCATACACACACACACACGTGCATACACATACATGCACTCATACACACACACAAAATACACACGTGCACACACACACATACATACATACATACATATAGGACAAGGCACAGCCAATAGCCTACTCAAAAGAGCTTTCTCTCTTTCTGGTAGAGCCCTGAGCTGGATTCTCTTTCTCCACGTGATTTAGGGAGGAGGAAAGACAAATTCTCTCACACATCAGGAACTCTCCCTGAGTCCCGTTAGGTCACCCAGCAACAAACTGGCTCAGAGAGGGGAACTACAAGGTATTTACCTGAAGCCAGAGCTGAAAAGAAAACTCTTTCAGGGACCTGCTGTCCTACTTCCGCATATTGTCCCCAGCAGGGCCACTGCCCTGCCTGAAAACTCCTGCTGCCACCGGACTGGCGCGGAGCAGTGCTGCCCTGCCTTAGCGTCTTCACGCACGCTGACTCAGCACAGGTGCCAGCTCTCAGTCTCAGGCCACTGCCCCCGGTCCATCCTGCTTGCCCGGTTCAAGCCCAACTCTCTGGAGACTAAGTGCACTCTGGGAAGTCTTTCCTGTAACTGATGCCCTGTAGTTGATAGTAGTGTTTTTCCCCAGCTTCTACACCAGTCTTAGTAATCCCATTCCCCGTGACAGTGCTTGGTATGAAAGGGCTGGGTGATGCAGTCCTGGCCAATCAGGTGGGAGAAATCTGCTGGGAGGGCTTATGGGCAAGGTCTCCTTGCCTTTCAAGAGACCAAGATGGGAAGAGACAGTGCTCTTCCTTTGGACCTTGTCCATCTGCCTGTGGTTCCTGGAATTGCAGCAGCCATTGCCAAGAGGGGAGCTGATCCCGAGCAGAAGAGAGGCACAGATAGATGGCAGAGCAGGATGATGAGAAGCACCTTCCCTTTCTGGGTGTGTTTGTACATGCAGCTGCCCTACCTCAGGATTGTTGGTAAGTGAGATAACTGAATTCCTTCATTTTTTTAAAACATTTCAGTAGGGATCTTTGTTTTTTTGCAGCTACAATTTGCCAAACTGAAACACAGAAAACTCAAGAAATTTACCATCCACAGATCCTTGCAGAGAGAGCTTACTCCAGAAAGAAGTAACTTGAATTTAGGAAGAAGCAATGAGGTAGAATAACAACCACAAGCAAGAAAAGGAGTGAAACTGAAGGCAAAGCTTGAGCAAGAATGGGTGTCAAACAATCGTTTGCGAAAAGTTAACTACGGTATCTGGCAGAATGAAACAAGGGCCAAACAGGTTTTAGATGATGAGCTGTGGGGGAAATAAAGGAATTATTCTGAAGGTTAAAGAGAGCAGGCAGCATGCAAGCTAGGTTTTGAAGTCCATCTGGAATTTCAGGGCGGGAAGGAGGCGGAAGAGCAGCCCAGGTTTCAGGAACAGGGTGAAACTCACGGGACCAGGTCGTAACTGCTGTTCTGAGAAGTCTTGAGTCCAAAATGCTCTTCTGCCAGCAACGTGCTTCGGAAATCAACCAAAAAATGTTATCCCATTTCTGTCACCAAAATGGAAGCCATGCATATCTTTCAGTGTGGCAGCTCTCATTTCTGTGTACCCAGAAAAAATAACAACAGTGGAAAGGGTCGAAGAAAGGGCAACCAGTGGAAGGGCAGAGACACTTCTGGGGATACGATGATGGACAGAAAAGCAAGAAGGTTTTTTGAGAGACTCGTTAAATCTCAAAGGAGTGTGGAAAGGGTAACTCTGAAATATTTCACCAAAGAGGTTTTTATTTTAATGGGATTAGTGAACAGATGCCTAAAAAGCTTACTGAGTTAAAAGTAAATAAATAAATAAGAAAACCAAAATCTGTGTTATTTTCCCAGTTCTGTTATTTATTAGCTGTGTGTAACTTTGGTCAATCAATAACTATCTCTGTACCTCAGTGACTTCAGGGGTATGGTGTCACCTCCCTCATCTATGGAATTTTCTTCAGGATCTGAGCAGATAATGTAAGTGGTGGGGAATGGAGAAAAAGTTTAATTTTCCCTCTTAGATTCAGGCAAGACGGGCCACTCAGGAGAGATGACCTGCGACACGAAGATGTTGGCGAGTGGAAAGCTCTGTTTCCAATGTGACCATGACACAGGATGCAGGCAGCCACCCAGTCTGGTTCAGGCAAACTCCAAGAACATTGTGGGCACGGAAACCAAGTTGGAGGTGGGATTGGAGACACATATAGAAAGGAATTATTCTATTTTTTCACAGTGTGGGAGCTTTGCCAAGACTTGCAGCTTTTGTCAGGAGGCTGCAATTAAGGGGGAACTTAAAAGGAAAAAATGAAATGGAGGGAAGAACCTGAAACTTTTTTGAAGCGGTGAGGACATAATTTGCATGTTCAACCCCAGAGGCCTACCACACCACAGTAAACTTTGTATGCACTTTCATGTTTGTGAAGCTTGGCTAAGGTGGTAGATGGAGTGTCCAAACAGCAAGGCGAAGGATAAGATCTTAGGCCCAGTTGTGGACAAGGACATTGGAAAATGGCTCAAAAACCTGCAGCCATCCAAGGGCCCTTCCTGCCCGGGTCTTCCTCTCCCCAGAACCCACGCTGGAGGCGGGCTGTGCAAATATACTGGGGAGTCCTCAGAGTCCCTTAGAGTTATCTGATGGCTTCCCGCCTCTAAGAAGACTGAGGCCAGTTATACTTCCACCTCTGCGTTATTCTGAAAAATTTGTGTCCTTTTTTTTAGAATTTATTTTTCAATTACAGTTGACATAAAAATATTACATTAGTTTCAGCTATACAACACGCTGACTAGACATTTAATACCTTATGAGATGCTGGCCCCAATAAGTCCAGTGCACATCTGACACCATACATAGTTATTACAATATTATTGATCATGTTCCCTATGCTGTACTTTATATCCCCATGAGTATTTTTATAATTGGCCATTTGTACTTCTTAATCCCTTTTATATTTTTCATCTAGTCCCCCAACCACCTTGCCATCTGGTGACTAGCAATTTGTTTTCTGTATCTATCAGTTTGCTTCTATTTTGTTTCCTTATTTTGTTTTTTATTAGTTTCCACATTTATGTAAAATCATATGGTATTTGCCTTTCTCTGTCTGACTTACTTTAATAACCATAGTTGCTTCCTAGGTCCATCCATGTTGTCCCAAAGAATGAGATTTCATTTCCTTTTTTATGGCTGAGTAATATTCCATTCCTTGTTTATGCCTGGGTACTATTCATTATGTATATGTACTACCTCTTCTTTATCCATTTGCCTATTGGTGAACTCAGGCTGCTTTCATATCTCGGCTATTGTAAATACCACTGCAGTGAACATAGGGACACATATATGTTTTCAAATTAGTGTTTTGGATTTCTTTGGCTAAATACTCAGAAGTATAATTGGTAGGTCATATGGCAGTCCTATTTTTAATTTTTTTGAGAAACCTCGATGCCTCTTTCCCTAGTGTCTGCACCAATTTCAGTCCCACTAACAGTGCACAGGGGCTCCATTTTCTCCGCACCCTCGCCGACATTTGTTTGTTTATTTATGACAGCTACTCTGACAGGAGGGGTGCACTATCTCATTGTGGAGCTTTCCCAGCTGTTCCAGTCATCTCACTGTGGTTTCAGTGTGCATCTCCCTCATGATTAGTGATGTTGAGCACCTTTTCATGTGCCAAATGGCCATCTCTATGTCCTCTTTAGGGAAGTGTCTATTCATATCTTCTGTGATTTTTTAATCAGATTAGTTGGTTATTTTGGGAAGGGTATTAGATTATATGAGGTCCTTATACATTTTGGATATTAACCCCTTTCTAACCACAGCAATGAGACAAGAAAAAGAAACAAAAGGCATCCAAAATGCTCAAGGGATTTAGTTGTCTATGTAATACATTTATCTTGGTTTGCATTTGTAGTTACTGAATTCAGAGGTGATTCTCCACCTAAATGCCAACTTCTGACTACTTCGTTATGTCTTTCCATGTAGTTATTCCCAAACAAATGGAGATATGTATTACTGGAACACAAAACATTTTATTATAAGTCATTTTCCTTTTATTTCTAATTTCTATCATGCTTAACATAGTATTTTTGACTTTAAGAGGCAATGGGGTATATACATTATATTGCCTATTAATTTCATTTTAAGATTTTAAAGGGGGAGATTAATACAAAATATTTGTAAAAAAGGTGGCATTAAGTTCATTAGAGTTGAGAAATATTAGACTAAAAGGCGATAAAGAGGAGTTGTAATCATGGGTTGTGTTACATGCCCATTGCCTACACATGTACCTCTCCCCCATGTAACTGAAGGAAAGGTACAAGAAGTCTTCAGGTTAAGGAGGGCAAAAAAAATGCTTTAGGGTTGCCTATAAGGGACTCAATGTAAGATTTTTAGTCCTTTGGTTCTAAGACAGGAGATTATTAGTTCACAATACTAGACAACTTGAAAGAAAGATAAAAAGAATATCCAGAACATCTTTGAGGTTTTCAGGCAGCAGGGAAAGATTTTCAAGTGCTCAAAATACTGTGAATGGAGCAGTCAGGTGAGATCAGGAACCTCTGTTCTCAATGAAGAGTTAATAAGCTCCAGAGAGCAAAGGCTGCAAAGAAGAAGAATATAGATCAAAATCTGATTCTTCCCAGGTGAAAGTTCACCTTTTTTTTTTGAAATAAAATTTTGATGCATCCTACAGCTTGGGTGGACCCTTGAAAACATTTTGTTTGGTGAAATAAATCAGACGCAAAAGAACAAATATTTTTGAGTCCAATTCATATGAGGTACCCAAAATAGTGAAGTTCATAGAAAAAGAAAGTAGAACAGGGGTTACCAGGGGATGGAGGAAGAAGAGAATGGGTACAGATACTGTTTAAACCTCATTGGAAGATGTTTATTTATCAGAGAGAGAGAGAGAGAAAGAGATGTGAAAGAGAAACATCAATCAGTTGCTTCTCATATGTACCCTCATCAGAAATCAAACCGGAAACCTAAGTATGCATCCTGAGCAGGAATCAAGGCTGCAGCCTTCTGGTGTATGAGATGATTCTCCAACCAACTGAGCCACCTGGCCAGGGCTAACAGGCACAGAGGTTTTATTGGAGATGGTAATTTGGGATATGGGTAGAAGTGGTGATGGTTACACAATATTGTGTATGTATTTACTGCTACTGAATTGTATACTTACAAATGGTTGAAATGATGAATACTATGTTTTTTCTCTCTCTCTCTCTATATATATATACACACACACATATACATGTATATATGTGTATATGTATATATATGTATGTATTTTTTACCACAATAAGAAAAATGAATTTTAAAAGAGTTTACCTTTTTGTAAAGTTCAACCTCCAAATACAGTTTATTCCTAGAGTCTGTAGATTTTAAAATCTTTATGCCTTCCTACTCACATCATTTCTTTCTAACTCTATATTAAACCATAAACACTGTTTTATTAGGTGGGGAGGGAGTGGGAGGAGAACAAGAAAGTTCTGTGAAGGAAACTTTCACATCGTTGTTTACTCTCAGATCTTCAAATGCTGCTTTTAAAATAAAGCAGAAAAGACGACTGTTTGACATCTATGCAAGATTTATCATGCTC